GACTTTAAGAGCCAGTATGGTTATCTCCTCTGTTTAAACACGCTATCATGGGACAAAGTAAGACGCTAATCAAACACAATCAGCAGAATATCGTCTATCTAACGCACGAATGTCGCACTTCTCATCGTAATCCACACGCAATGTCTGTTTGAAAACAGAAAAAACAACCACTGAAAGCTTCAAACTTTTCAGGCCTTTTCCCAGAAAAGGACTTTTTTTTAAAAGAAAGCCCCTTGCTGTAATTAAAACACTCACTCAACTTTGTTCTTGTCTCAAACAGTCCCCACTGTTTAATGGCCTAAAACCATTCACGTTAAATTAAAACGTAACAAGAAACACTTGAAATGATCCATCATCACACAAAGGACTTTTAAAAAATAAAAACAGCCTCACACTGTCCTTAACACAAACACTCACTCCAATATTCTCAGCTTCCACTGTGATTGTGTTCTTTATCTCAAACAGTCCCCACTGTTTAATGGCCCAAAACCATTCACGTTAACTTAAAACGTAACAAAAAACACTTATTGGAGCGATTAGCCTTTTGCCGACATGTAATAACAGACAAACGAATAGCATGCAGGGTTAAATGTAAGAAAAAGAAGAAATTTGAACTCACCGTGCCTGTGAAACTGCAACGCCACGTGTTATGATTGTTATACGTTTGGTTGTTTTAACATTAATTTTCCAGCTATTTTCAGGAACCGTAAGCAGCCGTCCAACACACAGTCCTAAGATTGTTCTGCATAAACTATTGAAGAATTTTGACGTAACAGGCCAGGCCTTTACCCTGGTTTGAGCTCTCTGTGTGTCGAACGGGTTGCCAGCGGCTCCGGATAACAGCCGCGTGTATAATCTCTCCCGGTGCAACGAAAATCCCGTCAGCAATCCCGTAAACCTACCATCACATGTACCTTAGCTTGACTTAAATGTATTAAACGTATAGTTAAGTGATATCAAAATATAAATAACTAATGTCATGCAAACATATTAATATTTGCTTGATTCCAGTGTTGAATTTAACACAATTGCATACAAACGTTAAGGGGTTTTAAGATTCTGAAGTATTATGTTAAAACTCAATAACTTGGATTATTATTTATAGTTTTGCTGAATAGTTTCATGTCCGCTTACCTTAGAAACGTCAAATGCGACGGCAGCGTGCAGATGGGGAGCATGTTAGCTTAGCTTGGTAGCTTCAGCTAGCTCTGGAACTTCCAGCTCGGGTGGCGGCAGGTCCCGCCTCGGCTCCGCCTCTTTGCCCTTATTTGGAGAAGGCGGGAGTTGAACTCTGACGTCACTGTCGAGCCGTTAGTGGCCGACTCCGCCTACTAAGGGCTTCACGGCCGTAGACATATCTATGTTCACGGCAACTCTGCAGAATCCTATGGGTGACGTCACGGACCCTACGTCCATTTATATATACAGTCTATGACCTCCACCTACGTAAGCAACAGTGGCTGGATTTTAACCAAGGGACTGCTAGCCAGGGAAAAGTCGATAAAGCCATTGCACGGTATGTTGTAGAACACATGCAGGCTATTACTACAGTGGAGTTACCCGCTTTCAGGGAGCTAGTTAGCACTACCTGGAGAAAGAATATACAAAAATGGAAAGCCAGCTAATATCGATGCAATCCAGATTGCATATAATGCATGTCAAGTTGATCAACAGATTGTATTATTCTCCAATGCAATAACAGTAGGCTAAGGGAATGAATGGGAGCCCTTTTGTAAGTAACGAAAAAGTTACGCATTACTTTTTGGTGTAAGTAATCAGTAAAGTAACTGAGTTACTTTTGAAATGAAGTAACTAGTAATGGTAACTAGTTACTGGTTTTCAGTAACTAGCACAACACTGCCTGGGACACATATTTATCTATAAAAGACATAAAAAAGTGCATTTTGCATAATAGGTGACCTTTAAATATTTACGACATGTGTTTGGCCATGTTTTATTTCACCGGGATGTGATTGATTTGTAGTTTAATGTGTGAAGACAAGAACAAAATGCATTTGGCTTTTGTGATCAATGATATACGTTTTAATGTTTTTGCAGCTAACAGTTAACAAGTAACAAGACAACAGTGAAACATTTGGTGTCAATCATCTGGACTGGTAGAGAGAAACAGGCTTGTTGTTGGAGATATCACAGCTTTATTGAACATATTTAACTTTGTCCATATTTCCCAGCAAGCTCACGCCCGCTCACCCTCTCCAGCACTGAAACCATGGTTTTCCCTTTCAGGTGTCAGCAGATCATAATGACTCGTAGGTATTGTCAATCTTACATTCTAACAGACAGCTGAGTTATTGACACTTCAACACTGTTTAAAATAACATTCTGTGTCCATTTTCTTCATTTTTCTTGGCCAGACAGAAAGTATAACAACATTGTGAGAGTTCAGCCTGAATTTGGACAGAAAATGCTTTGTGTAAAAATCACTTTTATGGTAGGTACAGGAAAAATAAAACACAAAAAATGTCTTGCAAATAGCTCCAAATAAGTAGCCCTAATAGACCAGAATGCAATTCAAAAGGTCGGCATGTGACCTTTGATGAAATGTAGTCAGTGTAGGTATACAGAAGAACAAAATGAACCCTGGGATGGAAAGAAATGTAGTATTTAGGGATGTTTTCCAATATATGTTGTCATTAATTACTAGAATATATGTATTGACCATTTGTCACTGGAATAATAAAAATGTTGCCGAATATAAATCTGTGTTACGAACTGCTTGGAAATACCGACTGCAGGTAACATTCATCGCCACCTCTGCCCTGGAAAAAGGTTCTCGGCCCCCCAGAGGGTTAAGGGTGCTTGTTGAAGCCGAAGCTTCGAGACTGTAGCTGAGCGTCCTTTAAGGGGGGGGGGGCTAAGGCTGGACCTCCTCAGCTAGAGCCCTAACATCACTGCTAGAGAGGGAGACGTCCGACAGCACTGAAGCAACAGCAAGGCAAAGCTCCTTTTCTTCATTCATTTGAAACAAAAACACTGGGGTTCCTATCGAAGGCATCACATTTTCAGCAATGTTGCAGCGTAAATTCATTTTAAAGCTGGAAATATTTCACACTTTCCATCGGTGGCAAAATCTCATCAGTTCGCCACACAGCTATGCTTGTCCCACAACTATAAATATTCACTCGGCACATCTTTAAAGGGTCAGTTCACCTCAATGAGAATATTCCTCCCTTACCTTTAACGCTATTCAGGCATGCAGAAAGTGATTCCTATCTTTAAAATGTCTGCTTCCAACCCGACAGAATCATGACATAAACAGTAACTTTTCCTTCAATGTGTCCCTACTATTTGAGTTGTCATAGGGTCTATTTCTTTCGTTTCCAGTCAAATTAGGAATGATTTGAATGAGCGGCAGTGCTACATTTGCAAATGGATTACTATCATAGGGAGAAGACAAAAATAAAAATATGTTCAACCTGGTAAATGACTGTACCTTTTCATACCTAAAATAAAACTACGATTTAATTACTCACAACTTCTGGGGTTGCAAAGTTGACATCGTGCTTTGAGGCACAATAAGGACCATGTTGGTATTTTGGCAAATAATAGCTAAATACAGATTTATATTATTGACCAATAAATCACAACATTGTCAGAGAAATGCTAAGTTTCTAGGGTTGCTCAATTAATCGTATTTTAATCGCGATTGCGGCGATTACGAAAACAACGTAATCGAAATAAAACGATAATTTTTTTATTATTATTTTAATAATTGTTTTCTTTTTCAGTTGAATTATACTTAAAGTTCAGGGTAATCAACTGTTAAAAACATACTGTTCAAATTTTTTCAATAAATGGATGTTTTCAAAGTCAATGAATAATCGCAATTACAATTATTGACCCAAATAATCAAGATTATGATTTTTGCCATAATCCAGCAGCCCTATACGTTTCAGACCATTCGGGCACGAATTTGACATCCAAAAGCTGGGTTTTTTTACACTGTCAAGTTCACATTCGGTTCAATATCCTTACAGCTGGTAATTTTTTGACATTTTGTTTTTGTTATGTGTTTACGTTAACACAATACATATTTAAGGATGTACAGATTCAATATTGGTACCAGCTTTAAAATAAAATGTGTTTTGGCTATGGTCAAAAGCAAATACTGTTGGGAACCCCTGCGATAGATGCAAGTGAACATTTTAAGGTCATTTGAGTGACCTGATTCTTTAGTGCTGTATCAGGGATCAAACAGCAAGACAAATGTTCAAAATGACTGACCACAGTTGTAAGATAGAAAAAATAGGTTTTAGTTGTGTTTAGGGTCATTATTTCCAATCGGTTCATTCTTGTTGAAAACCACCCCTCTATAGCAAGCTCTGAAGTAACAACTGATGAGAATTTGGACAAACAGTCAGTATGGTGAGAGCTGATGGAAAACACAGTCCAGTCAAAATAAATCCTGGAATTTGCATGAATTGGGTATAAGCCAGGAAGGAGTGGAGAGGAGGCCAGATGCACAGGTGAACAGGCTCGCAACACACACTCGCACAAATACACAATATTGGTCCCCATTGTTAGTGCCCTTAAGGGTATAGTAGTTTATTTAGCACTTAGATGTATGGGTCCGTCTACAGACAGATAACTGCAAGCTGGTGTAAGGCTGGTAATCATCAGTGGAGCACTTTAGGGCAGCCAGAGTGCTACCTGTGACACACACACACACACACACACACACACACACACACACACACACACACACACACACACACACACACACACACACACACACACACACACACACACACACACACACACACACACACACACACACACACACACACACACACACACACACACACACACACACACACACACACACACACACACACACACACACACACACACACACACACACACACACACACACACACACACACACACACACTCTTCCTCTTTTCACTCCTGTCCCTTGTTTTAACCTAGTTGAGCCGTTTCTTTGAAAAGCATACACAAAGGGCTACATAAACATACCATTTTGTATATCAATTGTTGGCATTTTAATTATTTTCAGTACTAAGCTGGAGAAAAAAAGATTAAATATATTGAAACAAGAACTGTGAAGCGTCTTTTATGTGTAACAATATACCAACAGGTTGAACACATTCCACTGTTTGTAATCTCTCTCCAACAAGCAGTCCACAACACGAGTTCCTAAGGGTCCACTTTCTTTTCTTTTTTGCAAAGGAAAAAAAAAACAAGTGTACAATCGGCTGTATTATTTTACTGTACAAGTGTCAAAAAAAGCTGACATTTTCCATCGCTGATCCACCAAATGATGATGTTGATGATGGATGTGTGTTAAAAATGGTTTTCCACAGATGGCTGAGGGGCCAGATACTGTGGTGTAAATAGCCCTGGAGAACATGGTTGTTGGATCTGTGATGATGAATCTCATGGCATTCAGAGCTACACTGGTTCAAATACAAAAAGCTAAATTGAAACGAAAAAGGCGAGCGAGACGAGAGAAGAGATCACCCTTACAGGATGCTTGAGGTTTCCTTCTTTTTCTCGATTTCCTCTTTCTCTCGGAGTAATACAACAGTCTGCTCTGTGGGGTGACGCTGCTTCCAGCCTGGAGTTGCATCTTGGTGGTTTTTTGTGAATGTCGATGAGGTTTGATAACAGTCTCTTCTCTACGTTTTTATTCCACGACTAAATGTGTGTGTGTATGTCTGTGTGTGTGTGTACTAGCAGCTGCAGTGACCGTAAAGCCAACCGACTCGCCGATGATGCTTGAATTTTCTGTGCATTACTACTGAACCCAACACATTTGGGCTCAGTAAGTGTCCTCATCAGGCTTAAGCCCACATGTCTTTCATTTTTCTTTGTGGAATCAGCCGAGACAGGGCCGGGTGGGGCCCATGCTCTGGGCCAATAGGAAAGCTTGTACCACCTCCTGGGTCTGCTGGGGCGTAGTGTTGACGTCCTCCAGGGCGTCTGCCACGGCAAACTGCCGGTCCCTCAGCCTGTTCCAGTTGGACAGTACGTTGTGGTATTCAAACACCTTCTCGTAGTTTCCCACTGAGTTGTAGAGTTTGATCAGGCCTCTGTAGTCGTACTCCAGCCCACTGTAGCCCTCTCCAAACAGCTTCTTACCTGTGATAGAACAGGAGAAATGGTAAATGGACTTCCTTCATACAGCTCGTTTCTAATAGAAGTGCTTAAACAACACATGTCAGCTTTCAGAGGCAGAAGCTTCCATACAAGGACAGCAGGGATAAAGCACATCATGAAAGAGTGAGAAGTATTTTGGCACTTAGAACAAACTAAAAGCTGTTAAGTCATTCAAAAATCATCCAAAACGAAGACGTACAAAATGTTCATCATTGGTTGGACTAGTATTTAAAGAGGATATATTATGCAAATATTCAGGTTCATATTTGTATTTTGTGCCTCTACCTGTGAAGTGAAAATAATCATAAATAATTATTAACAATCCATCAATTATTAGTAACACACTTCTACCGCAAATAAAAACTAGTTTATAACAAAATTAGTCCTCGTCGGGGATAACCTTAAAGGGGCCCTATTATGCTAATGTTCAGGTTCATATTTGTATTTTGAGCCTCAAGTGTGACATGTCTCTCTGCTTTAATGTTCAAAAAGCCCTTTATTTTTCTCGTACTGCCTGTGCTGCAGCACATCTTTTCACCCTCTGCCTGAAACCAGAGCCCAGTCTGCTGATTGGTTAGCTAGCCTGATCTGTTGTGACTGGTCAACTGCTTAGAGCTGTCCCGCCCCTTAGCCTATCACTAACAATGTGTTGAAGCGCTAGCCAATAGATGCGTGAGTGTTACATAGTGATGTCACTATGTTACAGAAGTGAACTCAGGAGTCGGATGGAGGCGTTTTCAGGCAGCAGGAGGGGGACTTAAGCCTTTACAGACCATGTACATGCATAACCTATATAACACACCCCAAAAAGAAAGGAAAACCCCAAAAAGCATGCACCCCCTCCCTGTCTGACCGATAGCGATGGAGCGCAGGTAGAGCCGCTCTGCGTCGTCGTACTGGTTCATGTCGTAGTTGTAGAGGGAGGCCAGGTGACCCACAGACAGAGCCACTTCGTAGTCCTCATGGCCCAGAAGCTGCTCCTTGATCTGGATGGCTTTGATGTGCATCTCCTCCGCCTCCTGATTACATGAATGAACACACACCTGCTTTGAGTTTTCCACAGTCATATCTTAAAACAAAACCCATATTGAAATTCAAGCAGGTTTTGATTCCTTCAAATCATACTTCCTTTTAATTGTGGCATTTCAAATATCATTTTCAATAGCCGCGTTCACATCGCATCAGAACCTTTTTTACCCCCTTTTCCGTCCCCGTTAGAGAGCAGGTACTTTCGTGAAGCCGCCATTTTATTATCCTCGCATTAGCATTAGCCCAGCGCACAAACGCAGAGAGACTAACTTATGGCAACACAAAATAAAACATGGGAGCGGTGGAGATGAGGAGGCGTCGGCGTTCTGGCGATTTACTCAGAAGGCTTCAGTAGAAGCTGCTGGGAGTCCCAGCAGCTTCTACTGAAGCCAGTCCCCAACTCCGGGGACTTCCGGCCGGGGACTTCGGGTGGCAGTATACGCCGTGAAGTGGTTTGCGGCCTGCCAGTAAACCCAAAGCAGAAGAAGAAGAAGTGACGTCAGCGGCTTCATTTGCCTAATCCTCCCCCAGGGAACTTATTCTGGTGTGAACGCGATCTGTAGTTCATGAGAACTAAAGAGTTCTCATGAACTAAGTTCTCATGAACCTTTGTGGGAAAAGTACTGCGGTGTAAATGTGCCTAATGTAAATTATGGGGGATGACATTCTCAGTACTTGTAATCAGAGGTGGGACCAAGTCATTGTTTTGCAAGTCCGAGTCAAGTCTCAAGTCTTTGCGCTCAAGTCCGAGTCAAGTCTCAAGTCATTGTTTTGCAAGTCCGAGTCAAGTCTCAAGTCTTTGCGCTCAAGTCCGAGTCAAGTCTCAAGTCAGGATGGGCAAGTTCAAGTCAAGTCCTAAACTTTGACAAAACGAGTCATAAACAAGTCATTATGTGCTTTTCACCAAATGTAATGACATCGATCAACAGAATAATACTTAATAATCAAATTGCTCTTTATTAGTCACATTAATAATTTAATAATCCATTTTCTCTCTGCTGGTAAAGTAACGTGTGTTTTTCTAATTTAAGAGGGATCAGTAAGGTAAGGCTACCGTGACGGTTTGATTCAGAAGGAGTTTAATGAATAAGATCCCTGATGTTGAGGTAACCAGAATGTTTATTTCCACTGTGTACAACATGTTATAAGGGACCCACAATCTATCTTTATGCAAGGGATAATGTGCAGCGAGGCGGGGAAAAGAACACCTGAATCTAGATCCCTCTGCAGGTGGTACTTTAAGTATATTTTGATGCTAATACTTTTACTTGTAACATTTTGAATGCAGGACTTTTTATTGTACAGGGTTCCTGCAGGTTTCGCCAACTCAAATTTAAGACTTTTTAACACCTTTTTAAGACCACTTTGAATAGAATTTAAGACCTATTTCACGGCAATAAAGTATGAAGGAAAATGTATATAAAGAAGAAATACGTCCCATAATCACTTACAAAGTAAATGTATTCATGTTCAACATAAGAACAATGACTGAACACAACAGCATAACAGTACAGAACTGTGTTAGCGTGTTAGACAAAAAGTGTGTATGTGTGTGTGTGTGTTAGGGCTGTGCAATTAATCATATTTTAATCGCAATTACGATTTTGGCCTGCCACAATTACGAAAACAACATAATCGGAAAAAACGATTATTTTGCTTTGCTAGGTTGTGACAGTGCACTACAACATATTTGATCTAATGAATTTTTTAGTAATGTATCATTTATTTAATTAATTTTTGTATTGGTTTTTCAGTGGAATTATACGTTCAGGGTAATCAACAGTTAAAAAGATACTGTTCAAATTATTATTTGTTTTAAAGTTCAATAAATGGATGTTTTCAAAGTCAATGAATAATCATATTTAATAATCGTGATATTAATTATTGACCAACATAATCTTGATTATTGCCATAATCGAGCAGCCCTAGTGTGTGTGTGTGTGTGTGTGTGTGTGTGTGTGTGTTAGAGATGTTAAGATTCACCGATTCGCATCGGTGCACCGGCATAAACGTTCAAGATGCGAGTGCACCGGTTGAAAGAGTGCACATCGGCTACAGTTTGGGTTGAACCGGGTTGAACTCGCGATGCATCGATGGCGTAGCGTCTTTGCATCGGTAAAAAAACGATTCATTCATATAAAATCCCCTCATCTTGTCAACGCTCAGCAGAGACGATCTTTGATATTTGCTTCGCCACTACGGAGGCCGAGAGTCTCAGTTATCAAAACACACGGAAGTTGAGGAGAAAGAGAAACACAGCGCACTGAAAAATACCTACATATCAAACGTTTGGCAACACTTCGGATTGTTCAAGAAAGACGGTGTAATAGTCCTTTATGCTATATAGTTGACCGCAGGTCATGGAGAGTAATAAGGTATCTTTATTACTTAACAGGTCTACAGCCATGATACATAGATCCGTCCTAGATGCGGGCTTGTATACACACAGTATCACTCCGCAGCCGCACCCCATCAGTAACGTCCTGATGGTATATGTGCGCGGCACTATATACTACAGACGGTCAACTTGAAAAATCGCTCGCAAATTGTTAACGATGCCGAGTCGCTTTAAAGTACACAAGTAGTACGAGGAACTTAGCGACGCACATAAAGAGGCGACATGGGGTCTGCGGCTGAAAAGAGTTAAATCACTCAGTGAGGTGTTCTGTCAGAGAGAGTGGTGTTTAGTTTACAGCAGCCTGTGACGGCCAATAATAGTTTAAATGTCTTCCTTACTGTAAGCAGTTATGAAATACATGTTTGTGAAAGGTTATTTTCTTTATTGTTCATATAGAACCCACTGCTTTCTGCTCACTAGTGAGTTAGCCTATGAATGAGTGTTAAGCACACCAGGCAGCAGCTGTATGGGCATTGCACTATGGTAGCTGTTATTTGCACATTGTTAATCATGAGCAATGCAGCCTTACATTGTTTAACTGTGAGGTGTTATAACATTGTACTCTGGAGAGCTTTTAAAGGCAAAAAAATAAACGGCATGATGGGATGTGTAGTACCAAATATATAAAGCACTTTTTTGTTAATGTATGATTTGCTGCATATAAGGAATAAAACAAAAATCCTCTGTCGTACCATATTGAAGTATTATTTTTGCATCGTGTTGAATCGTATCGAACCGAATCGCATAATGTTGAATCAAATCGTATCGAACTGTATCGCAACAGGGGTGAATCGTATCGTATCGCATCGCCTGGTGTTTCAAATGTATCGTTAATGTATCGTATCGTGGCAACGTATCGAGATGCGCATCGCATCGGCCTCAGTGATGGAGATGCACATCCCTAGTGTGTGTGTGTGTGTGTGTGTGTGTGTGTGTGTGTGTGTGTGTGTGTGTGTGTGTGTGTGTGTGTGTGTGTGTGTGTGTGTGTGTGAGAGAGAGTGACAAGAGCTATATTCAGAGCTCTGCTGCCTTGGCTACACTATTTCATCGTTGCTGTTGTATGATTGGTGTTTAGCTGCGGTATTTAGCGTCTACAGCACCTCCGCTTTTAGGGTTGACGGAGACCCAAACTTCGCCCGGAGGTCCCCCGGTGTTGTTGCGGGAGCTGCTGCTGCACTAGCTAACGCTACATTAGCTAACGCTGCACTAGCTAACGCTACATTAGCTGCTGCTGCACTAACTAACGCTACATTAGCTAACGCTGCACTAGCTAACGCTACATTAGCAAAACAAACACCAATTTATTTTGCAAAAGGTGCAGCGGGCTTCAAACACGTTCCCTCCACTGGTTTCAACCAAGCACTAAATTAGATGTTTTCCAACCAAATACGGTTGAACTTACACTTCCACATATTGATTTGTAAGTAGATTCGAAGATAGGCTACATGAGCTTAAGCTTGGTTGATAGGTTACTAGCTGAGTGTTCTCCAATAAGGGGCCGGGGGAAACAAAGTTAGTTATTACTGGTTCCATGTTGATTTAATTCAATACAAATTGTTGGGGGGAACTGAAAGGCTATTACCGCACTGGTTAATTGCAGCCCGGACATTTTCCCCAAAACACATTTAGACGCTATCGCAACGCAGAAGTACCTTTCAAATCCGATAATTTTTAAGACCTTCTGAATCATATTTAAGACCTTTTTAAGGCCTTAAATTCTGATTATCAAATTTAAGACTTTTTAAGACTTGTTAAGACCCCGCGGGAACCCTGATTGTAACTTTTTTTTAAATTGTCTGAACTTCTCCCATCTCTGACAATAAATCCTGAGTGGTTACCAAAACAAAACCCTGCTCTGAAGGTTATTTTCATTTTACAAATCCTGCACTCAGCTTTGCTTTCTCCAATATCATTGACAAGCAGCCAGATGCTGCTTCTTTTTTCGGTTTTCACTAATTTCTTGACTTTTTCCGACGCGCTTGCATTTAAATCCGGCTCCCCGTCGCTCTGTGCAGCTGGCCTGTACCACTACACATGCTGTGCCCCCCACCCTTCTTTCACATAATGGTATGACCTAGTGTGTCCTTGCATATGATTGGCCGCATGGTGGCCCAGCTAAATAAAGACCCGCCCCTGCCTGCAAGGATTCTCAGCAAGAGTAGGAGCGGCTGAAGATTCTGCATTCCCCGACGGGAGTCTTCTCTTCTAGCGGCAGCTCGCGATCGGAGACCTCTGAATTAAAGTATCAAGTGACCTCAAGTCAGAAGGCTCAAGTCCAAGTCAAGTCCCGAGTCATTGGTGTTCAAGTCCAAGTCGAGTCGCAAGTCTTTTGTGATGTTGTCAAGTCGAGTCTCAAGTCATAAAATGTGTGACTCGAGTCTGACTCGAGTCCAAGTCATGTGACTCGAGTCCACACCTCTGCTTGTAATGTGCAACAAGGATTTCCACGATTTGTCTAAAACCGATATTTCGTCATCCAAATATGTCCATTATGTATTCCAAAGTTGGTTATAGCACATCATTCACTCTTTTCTAACTGTCCTTCAATTGTAGCTCAACAGGAAAACACGAATGGGTAATTTTATACAGAAGACTGTCACTTTGCTTCCTAGCGAAAAGACTAATCTGTGAGCTTGATAACGCCCCTTGAAAAATCAGAAATGAGAAGTTATAACATATATATTTGTGAATTGATCTTGAGATTTGAGGCTAGTTACGTTGAGTTCAGTTGCTTAAGCCTCAAATTAACTTCAGATTAAGATGTATTCTTTACACAAACAATATATAGAGTTTAGAAGATATTGCACATAGTAGGCCAAGATACAGTAACTGTTTCAGCTGTATGGTGTGTAGTGGCAGTGTGAGCTCTTGCATTATATATTAGATTAGCATTATTTTTGCATTATATACCAAGAAAGGCAAGAACCGTTGAGCTATTTTCAGTTAGTTTCATGTTACCTTAATAATTAATTGTTCTATGCACACGTTCCTCCTACCTTGAACTTCCTCATGGACTGGTAGAGTCGTCCCAGGTTGCCGTAGTGTTTGGCGGTCTGGACGTTGAACTCTCCAAAGGCCTTCTTGGCCAGCTGCAAGGAGGACAGATGAAGGTCATGAGCCTCTTGAAGGAGGCGCTCCTCTGTCTCCTTATTGTGGCAGTCGATGGCGATTTCCTCCAGAATCAGAGCTGAGGGAAAAAGAAGATGAGGAAGCAGAGATCAGACTTCTGCCCAGGGTTTAACAGCGGAGCCACAGCGTCGGGTTAGGGTTTGCTGCGCAAAGTTCATTTTTACATTTCAGATTCATCATCCCTTTACTGTTCTCATTCGCTTTTAAGCGGCAACTAAGGGGGTCAGGAGAACCAGTAATACCAGTAAAAAGTTTTTAAACATTGCTATATTTTTTAAAACAAAAGTAATAAAGTAGTTTTCCAAAGTAAGTATTGTATGTTGGGGGGACTTGAGACGGCGCATTAAAATAATATAATAATAATAAGAACATTTTGAAGTTAACCATAGCTGTCAGAGGGGCTACTGACTTAAAACGTGTTAAATGGGCTAAGGTTAAGTATATAATTATCCTAATGTGTTCAAATGTTATCTTTTTGTCTCTTAAGTTGACAGTCAGAACAATATTGAATAGATATTGGAAAGGAACTTATGACCTTAACTTTCTTCCAAAAAGCAATATTAAAATATAATAAAAAGGAGTTTATGTTGAGTAACAATTCCTTTTACTGTGTTTCGGAATCGTGGAATTTCACCTCATTTGTTTTGACATCAACATTTCTGGTATTGTGACATTCATGGTATTTACTCAATACGCACGCCAAATCATCTGGCCCAGCCGAGGGAAACATGTTTATCAATGAGAGAACTTTGTTTGATTATGTTAAAGTGAACTGTGGAATAAGTGAACTAAAATAATTCAGAATAAACTATCAAGCAATATCTCCGTGGTGATGACAGTCACTGGACTGCATGCATAGTCCGCATTCAAACTAATTCAATGGCTGACTCATGGCCCCCTCAGAGCTTATGTATTGTTGACCATTCAACTGATAAAAAGAGATATTTTGTAGCAATGACTCACTACTTTTAGATGTAGTTTTATTTGATTCTTTGAAGAGTTGTTTAAATAAAAAATGTAATTTGTATAGTTAAACATTTTTTAAATTAGACGAAAAAGCATCTCATGATCCTCTTCTGCCATTCGCCTCTAACCCTCAGCACAGTGGGCAGAGGGCCAGCATGTCTGCAAAACTTGCTTTACCTTTGACTCTTTTGGAGGAGGCCAGCAGCAGATGGTCCTCGGGAAGAATGTGAGTTATGATGTCTATGGCACGTTCTGCATGAAATCTGAGAGACAAATACATGTCAACAGGCAACTCAGATTTGGCTGGATTCAGGATAAACACTTCCAAGAAAGTCAAGTATTTCCCCTGGTGGAAGTTGTTTGGAACCTTAAACCAGGGTTAGAGGTCAAAGCCTTACCCAATTTTAAAACAGGGCCTTTGGAAACAAGATAGTGTACTAGCATCAATTAACAAATACAAGAAAAACACCACTATCCATGCCATTTTGACATCATCTTTGTTACAGGGTTTCCGCTAGGATTTATTGTTGCCGGTCAAATGTCCGGAAAGAATTTATTTTACAGGACAAATTTGAAACTTACCGATCATGTTTCAATAATAATAATAAGAATGGTGTAGCAGAGTTTCCGTTAGCAGGTAATCACCAGACTATGACCGGATATGCTGATGTTTAAAACTCAGTTAATGGGAGTCATTTTTATATTGCTTCAGTTTATAATCGTTACAGATCGAAAAGTTCAGATTCATTTTTCAATAAATGATTCCACAAATAACAAACAACATGATTATTACATTCAAACAAACTACTTGTAGTAGATAAAGTACATTATTCAAAAGTTTACATTAACTTTGAATAAAAACACGGGAGAAACGGATCCTCTCTTTCCCCCTCTCCCTCTCTCTCTCTCCTGACAGCCCGTCAGTTTCTCATGCAACTCGCAGGGTGGGGCTTCAGGTGATTATGCAGAGCTGAGTCTCCGTCAGACTCAGCAGCTGATCTGATCTCTCTCTCTCTGGTCCGGTTACACTTCACTCGCGTTTATGTCCATATCGATCAGATCCAGCTCTCCTGATCGGCCTTTATAGAGAGCACCGATCAAACTATTAAGAGTGAATATCGGCCGATAATGATCGACGGCCAATCGATCGGAGCATCCCTAATTATTACCGGCTAACGGAAACCCTGCTTTGTTACACCCCACATTCAAATGACCATTGCTTTTTGATATTATACACAATGATGGCACTTGCCAAAGCATGAAGCAACACAACATACATCCGTACAGTGAGTTTAAAACAGAGCAGCACAGTATGTGTAATGCCAAAGTGCTACATTTCTAAGGGAGCTAATGTCTAATGTAATGAGCTGGCTGGTTTAGAAACAGTCGTGAGATTGTAAGATTTATTGTACTCACAGTGCGTTGTCAAATTTCCCAGAGCTATACTGGTGCACATATGAGGAGTAGGCGAGGTCTTCATGGGCGGTGGCAACGTGGATGTTCTTCCCCCCAAACACAGACTGTCGGATGTCCAGCGCCGTCTGGGATTTGCACAAAAAGAAAGGGCATTTATTAAATATAGATAACACGCAAACATTCATGTTGCTAATCCTTCCACGTACCTGGTATATAGCAACTGATTGGCATATGTTGTCTACGTTTAATAAGTAAAATCCGTAATCTAGAAGCGTGTCGGAGTATTTGGGGTGCTTGTGGCCAAAATGTTCTCTGCAGGACACAAAACATTCAGTCAGAATCAATGATAACAAATGAAAATAATAATGTTTAGGCTTTAGAAGACGCAGCAGGTTACCTCGCTAGAAACACTGCATGTTTGATCAGCTGCTCGGCTTTCCTGAACTCTCTCTTCACCACACAGGCCTGCAGCGGAAAGACAAACGTCACACTATGAAGAAAGCTGCTCTCTAGATACTTTCTGCAAAAACACAGCAACCCAAATACTAACTCAATAGAAACTTGTAATCTAAACAAACACAACAAACCTTAGAAGCTTGCCGGAGGACATCAACCACTACTTTGGCAGGCAGCCCTGGAGTGATTTCCTTCATGGCCTCTATACACCACCGGTATGCCTGGAAACATCAGGAAAAACATGTAGCAAGTCAGTTGAAATCATTAAACTGACACTATGAAACAGTTCCTTTAGTGTCAATAATATAAGGGCTGCACAACTAATTATCATTTTATTTATATATCGAAATGGCAATATGGGTATGTGTGTGTGTGTGTGGGAGAGAAACTCCCTCGGCAGGGAACACAGGGATTTTAGCCTTTGCAAACCATTTACATGCACAATAAAATATATAACACACTACAGGAAAGAGAAAACCCCAAAAAGCACAATAGGGCCTCTTTAAGTTGCGGTGCTGCAGAGATATCCTAGACTACAACAGTATTCTGCAGGTTTAATACATTCAAATGAATTCATGAATAAATATATTATTTTAATGTATTTTCAATTATACTTTTTCCTTAAATAATGCTTATTATATTGAAATACCAAAATCAGTCAATATAATCACATTAAGTCATTTCTTTCTAAATTGTGCAACTCTAAATGATACATAATATAGATAATACAAATTGTTCAGTCACTGGTGTTCAGACCTACCTCATCATAGTGGCTTTTGGCGAAGAGCAAGGCACACAGCTCGCCGTACAGCGCTGCCTTGTTGGCCTGGTGGCCATGTTTGGCGAGTTTGTCCATGTAGGATTGAGCGAGCTTGAAGGTCTCCTCCCCCAGGTGGTACTTACAGTTGCCATTACGGACATGAAGGAGCCTGTGTAGACAGAGGAAACGTTAATAACAATCTCAGGTGTGACTGTCCAACCACCGATACAGAACAACCACTTTTGAGGAGACTTTAACTTTCTGTCAGTGATCAAAAAATATTTATTTTTGTGGTAATGGCATTATTCAAACTCTTTTTACTTTATTGGGAATGTAATGGTGCGTTCACAACGGACGAGTTAACATTTGTTAAGGTCAATGCAAAGATAGAAGCATTCACGCCGGGTGAAGCAAATAATGCTAATTCTTAATGCTAGCTTGTAAAAGCCAATCAGCGGTGAGATTCTCCTCCGTTTTCACTGACATACTGACGGGTTGTTGGATAAGGGCAATGGCAGCCAGGGCTCTACAGAACCTTACATTTGTGCAGAAACCGGGCCAAATTGATGCTTATAAATGTATGTGTACAAACAATTCACTTTCTATGGTATAACAGATAAAATAGCTACTCCTTTTTCACATGCCATGAGTGTGGATGAACTACAACGGTAGCTTAGATTAGCTTGATCATTCCAATGTTCATTCAGAAAACAAGCATTTTAAAAGTGTCTGCAGGCACACCTGGCCAAAGCATTAATAAAGAGTTTTTACTCATTTGTATCATGTCAATTATTCGGCATCCTTTTGATATTTTTAGTGCAATTAAAACATGGCAAATGTGTTAATTTTGGGTTCATAAGACTGTATTAAACACGATTTACGAACATATTGCATATTTCTTCTGCATTATTGATTTGGTGTCATGGCATGAGACCATTACAAGCACACAAAAAAAACTATTCCGTCAACTCTGGTGGCCATAGGTTTTTTCACACTGACCTGACACAGCATTCTACAGCCCTGAAGCAGTGGAGGACTTCACTCTGGAGCGTGCACAGCTGCAGGCACGACAAAAACACTTTCTCTGCATCTCCATACCAGCCAGCATCCGACAAGAAGCCACCTAAAATCATATTGGATTAATCAGATTAATAGAGCTGTCTAGGGTCAGAGGGAAATAGATTTAGCATCTAACTGGTGGGTAAAACATATTATCTTTTTTGAAAATACATAAATACAAATTCTATTCATAACAAATCTCCACCCCAACTGTGTGTAGAAGCAACATATCTGTAGAACCTTATGTAGGAGCTCATCCAAAGCGTTCTAACACCAACAAACATCCAGTGTTTAACTAAGGTTATATTAAAGTGTGAGAAGATGTGAAACGGTCTTATCTGTGGAAAGCAGTTTCAAGCAACTGATCAACAAGCCAGGACAAGAGGCTTGGCCTGGAGTACCTTTCTTGGATAAGAGCCAACAATTATTTCTGGTGTTGCACTTTTACATGTATGTTTTGGGGATGAGTGTCAATACCACAATAACCACAATAGCAGAAATGTAGAAGTCCTACTTTGTTTTGTTTAAATACACTTTCTTCCTAGATGGCTTAACAGGTCATAATTCTATTTTCTTAACAATTTTCCATTTCCTTTAAAAACGTGTTACTTAAACAACGATTATTTAATACGTTTAGGCAAAATGATCTAAATCTAATAAGATGACATTTGAACACATCACGATGACGTTATACTTTATCTTTGACCAAAACTAATCTTCACTGAATGTCAATAGCCGCTTCTGTTTCTGCAAAAAGCTTAAATCCAATAATAACTAGCCATACTCTTTATGATTTCACATGGATTTGTGTTGGTTAAAATCGGATTGGTCATCGTGGGTTTATTGATGAAATAGTGACGTCCAAGTGTGTTGATGAACAAAATGGATATAGCCGACAGCAAACAGCATTTTTCAAGGAGATTTGCGCTCCAGGGCAAACAAGCCACATTTGTCTGCTTTTAGGACTGATAACGATAATATAAATGTTAGCGTTTTTATCCCAATGAAAAGGACTCTTTTACATTACATGACGTTTGTTAGATACTTTTATCCAAAGCGACTTACAAATTCAAATTCAGTACTGTGGACAATCCCCACAGGAGCAATTTGGGGTGAAGTGTCTTGCCCAGGGACACAACGACATGCTGACTGCAGTGGGACTCGAACCTGCTATCCCCTGATTCAAAGTCCAGCACACAAGCCACTGAGCCACAGCCTCCCTTAGTCCCAATCCCCTGTTACCTTTGGTACTTGTGTTACCTACTGTACCTGCAGTACCAGCATGTTTTCAAAGTTTGGGCATTGACTTGGTGTGGAAATAACAGTTCTTGTGCCATCCCTAATCTATTCTACTTAATAGTACATCCATAGTAGTATTACATGTGTTATAATAAGACCATTTAAGCTATTTTAAATAATTATGAAATGCTGGATACAAGCGGCCGAGATGGGTTTTCTCCGCAGGGTGGCTGGTGTCTCCCTTAGGGATAAGGTGAGAAGTTCAGTCATCCGGGAGGGACTCGGAGTTGAACCGCTCCTCCATCGTGTCGAAAGGAGCCAGTTGAGGTGGTTCGGGCACCTAGTTAGGATGCCACCTGGGCGCCTCCCTAGGGAGGCGTTCCAGGCACGTCCAGCTGGAAAGAGACCAAGGGGTAGACCTAGGACCAGGTGGAGGGATTATATCTCTTCGCTGGCCTGGGAGCGCCTTGGGATCCCCCAGTCAGAGCTGGTTGATGTCGCCAGGGAAAAGAAAGTTTGGGGCTCTCTGCTGGAACTGCTACCCCCGAGACCCGACCACGGATAAGCGGGAGAAGATGGATGGATGGATGAAATGCTGGCTAAGATTTGGCCCAACTCTCATCCCTATTTTTTTTCTTCCAATGAGCTAACCCTACGATAATATCAGTGTGAGGAACAAATGGCTTATTGAGAGATAAAGGAACAGTTGTGTGAAAATGTTTTCCCATACCGAGCACAAAGCCGAACTGGATGGCCTTCTCTTTGACATGGGCGTCAGACTCTGCGATGTAGGAGCAGCGGCGGCTGAAGGAGTTCGCCAGAACCGAGGCCACTTTCACACCGTGGTCCATTAGCGCTTGAAAGCAGTGGTGCAGGAGGTGTCTGCAGTGGGTAGGACAAAGAGATGGAACATGTCAGCCAAAGGCATAACTGTAAAAGGTAATGGTTTTACATATAAGCCTTTACTAATAAAAAAAACTCAGTAGTTTAAACGTCACAACACCTTGCTAATCAGTGAATAACATAGCTTCTACTATAATTTCTCGTTAAGCCCATCAATCAAGGGTAAAAGCAACAACACACAAATAACATTGTAGAAAGAACATCAATAACGTACCTTCACCTAAGGAGTTTCATTTTACCAAGCAGAGGGTTAGAAGCATTCGCCTAATTTTCAAATCGTTTTCCTAAGGTGAAGTTTAAATTTAAAAGGGTATGCAGTACATGTTTGGCTTAATTATTTATACAAAACATATTTGGTTGTGGTGATTTAACTAAATAAATACATCAGGCTAAGAATATTCAACCATATTCACTATTAAATAATGCAGTTTTCAGCACATACAGCATAAACCGCTCTGATGAACAACTGTGGAAGTAGGGCTGTAGCGATACACTAATCTCACGATACGATACGATACACAGCCAACGATACGATATATATCACGATATTCAGCCAACGATACGATTCGATATAATTCGATACACTTATATCATTTTCTGAATGATTTTAAAGGGACAGTGTGATTTTGGTGACATCTTGAGTGTTCCATTGACTTGGATTGAATTAATTCAACTGAAAGCATCAATTATACAATATATGGCTCTGACAGAGAGTCTACAGCTTGCAAATGCTGGACAAAATGAATCAAAAGATGTGGTGAGAAAATTAGTTTCATTTATTGAAACCGTGCAAACTGTAGCTTACAAGCCTTTGAAACGTAAGTACATAAAGTGCAGTATCACAATGGAGAATTAAAAGGTGCAGCAGGTGGCGGAACACGGGGGATTTGAATGGGACTTGTTAGAAATTAAAATCAATGTTTTGATGGCATAAAGTACCTTAAACATACCGTCAGTTTAAATGCTGTTTTATACTGAAAAACCAGAAGTTCTTGTGCACAACCAGTTGTTAAGCTTTTATTCTGAAAATCCTTCATCTCCGGTTAGCATTTAGCATGTGGCTAATATACCATTTACTATAGAGGTGAATTTAGTAGCGATATGACACGGAGTGTTGCACACCGAAACCTACTGATTTCAACACTACAACTATAGACGTCGAGATATTATTATTGCTGAATATTAAATGAAGGTAGTTTATTTGAATACGTTTGTTTACAGACGTGGGTAGCATGAGACAACATCCGGAACTACCGGAAATGATACCAGCCGTGAAGTATTTTTAGAGTATTGATTACAGCGTTTAAAATGTATTAAATGAAAAGTCATGAAAGAGATAAGGAGGAGAAAAGGCGTGTTTAGATATATATTTAATGTACAATGTCTGAATCCTCTGTAATGCGCAACAACAAACATTGGAGACGTGGAGGGCCGGCCCCCAGCAGCGCCAACCGGCCCACAGGGAGGAGCCAGCAGAGGATATTTAACAGCTGGAAAGATGGAGCTTGCTCTCTTCCCTTCGCTCACAAGAGCCAGAACACAGCTGTTTTTCTGACTGAACCATCTTCTGCTTGTAACATTACCGCGCTTTTTATTAATTAAAGTATACATTTGAACCTTCTCAGAGACTCAATTAGTCTCCTTTTTAAAGCTTCTCTCCTGGACGCGAGAATAACGAACACAGTTATCAGACTTAATGTATCGATACCCGCGGCTGAAATATCGATACTTTCTCGGAAAACTAAATATCGATATATATCGCAGGATCGATTAAATTGCACAGCCCTATGTGGAAGGGACCAGTCTTCAAGCGTTTTTAAGATAACTGATGGGTCTATGTTTCAACTTTTTTGGCACCTCTTACTTAGTCCCATGATTTTCTCACCTTTTGTCTGAAGCTCGCAGAACTTTAGCAAACACCTCCAGCTCACAGAACTCTCCTCCCAGCTGGCAGAGCCGGCCCTGCTGGTAAAGCTGAAAGACACAGACATACAGATTGAGGAATAAGGTGGTTCACTCACTGACAAAAGTTCAGATGTCAACTCTTCCATTAGCTGCAAAATGATCAGTCTAAAGTTAATAACTGTTTGGAATACTAATGTGCAGAAAAACTGAGAGATCTGTAACTACAATGTTGAAGTTTCTGTCTAACTTTTCACTCTAAGCATATTTTATGCAGCCTGCCCTGTACTGTGTATGATAGTTACTAGGGGTGTAACGGTACACGTACCCGTACCGAAATTATTCGGTACGGGCCCTTCGGTTCGGTACAGGTGTGTACCGAAGTGTACCGAACGAATATAACGTTAAACGTAAAAAATTGAGAACGTGAACAACTTTTTGGAAGTAATCTCAGGTGCTGCGTCGCAGCATTCAGAGTAATTTGCTCACATTGGGTTCAACGCGTCATAGAGCGAGCAAGTCATTTCATTGGATGAGAGGCCTACTATGAGAGCTGGTCAGAGGGATGCGTTCAAATGTAGTCAGTAATTTGAGGAACTGTCGAAAATTAATGGCGAACGCAGATAAAGTTGAGCTCGAAAATCCTCCAGCATCATTGAAGTCTCCGGTTTGGGAACATTTTGGTTTCGCAGTTACGTACAAGGATGACGGACAAAGACAGGTGGACCGAACCAAAGCTGTTTGTCGGCATTGTTCAATTAATATTGGTTACGCGGCTGGCAATACATCAAACTTGCACACTCTTGAAAAGGCATCACCCGAACGTGAATATCACCGGTACCAAAAGAAAAAAGACTGAAGTGCAAACCCAACTCCCACTAGCATTTAAGCCTCCACCACTCGCAGAGAGTTCAGACCGAGCCAAAGCTATTACAAACACCAAATATCCTTATGTTGCCATGTTAGCAAAGCGCTACCTGGCTGTATCTGCTACCTCTGTCCCTAGCGAGAGGGTGTTCTCCACAGCAGGAGACATTGTTAGTGCCAGCAGATCTGCCATTTCAGCAAGCAATGTGGACAAGTTCATCTTTCTTTAAAAAAAACATGAAAATACAATGACAAGCAAGTCCTAATGTCAAACTGGCTGCTTAGGAACTAGTACAGTTCAGTTCAAATACAGATTATTTCAGTTCATCGAAAAGCTGCACCTTAATGTTTATTTTATTATATTTTGTATTTATTTGAGTGAATATTCACAGTTTAATAATAATTAAAAACCCAAAACTAATAGTTTATGTTTTGTGAGTACTAGTAGCCTACAGTAAAGTTCAAATACAGATTATTTCAGTTCATCGAAATGCTGCACCTTAATGTTTATTTTATTTTGTATTTATTTGAGTGAATACATTATTCACAGTTTAATAATAATTTTTAAAAAAAAAATATATATATATGTTTTGTTCTGTGAAAAAAAATTCTGCTGTACCGAAAACGTACCGAACCGAACCGTGACCAAAAAACCGAGGTACGTACCGAACCGAAATGTTTGTGAACCGTTACACCCCTAATAGTTACGGAAACTAAATGGGCAGACAGAGTTGCTCCGCTGCTTGGCATCCGAGGTAGTCACAGATATGAGCCAATGTCTGATTATCAGGAAAAGTCAGAACAGCTGGGTACACCCAAACACACAATATTGGTGTGTTAAAAAGCAACGTCTTCGTATGTGTGACCAGCAGTGTGATGGCATCTCTGTGTCAAAGTTCTCTGGTCTCTATTACGGGTGTATTTTAGGGGATGCTTTAGAAAATGCTCTCTGCTGATCAGGAGTTTAAACAAAAAAATGGCTGATGTCTAGCCTGTCATCACAATGCACTGAGTTGGAACTAGATATATGCTGTGGCTCTGTGTGCTGGGGTCTATCTGGGGACACAGCTAGTTTCAGTAGTGGGTCTACATAAGAGTCATATTCAGCCCAATCCACAGATAAAGTCATACTGCTTTACAAGCAGCCAATTTATCAAGGAAGGTCATTTGTTCTCCATATCATGTTAACCGGTTTTTAATAACCACGTTTGTGGCATAAAACAATATAAGCGTGAAACAGTATACCATTGAGTGAGTTTTAGAGCATTTAAAACAATACAACTAGTATATTTATCATATCCAATGTATATCTGTCAAAAATGGTTTCCAATTTCTCCATTAATGCCCTGACAAACTAAGCGATGGCCGGCTGGTGGCCGACACCAGGCTATCGTTTTCCAGCACTGCTGGCATTAGTCTGCACATTTGTCACTGTTTCAGCATGTTGAATCTGCAGTGGAGCCCACCAGTGAGTGGAATGACTCGGTTTGGCTGTTCAACTTCAGGGAATCAGTGCATGAGAAGAGTAACAGAAAACAACTTGAGTCAAGAGGGCCCACATATGGGCTTTTTCAAATGTTTGTCTTCATCTCGTCTGATCATTCCAATACTTGGACATTTAGGGTGTGTCTGTGCGTTAAACAAGGAACACATGTCAAACAGGACTAGACAGAGTGCTAGATTTGAAGGGATGACAGAAAGCGACTGTTTAGAAATGGTGAGTGTCTGAGCAAGAGAAAGGGAGTATAAACAAAACTTAACTAGCAGTGTCAACTACAGTCTACATATGGTGACAGAACTATCACACAAATGGGTCAAATGTAGTTCAGACAGAAACACTTGCAAAACAGCTGCAATGTTGTTTAAAACATTGTGTTGTCTCCAAGTAAACCAGAGGTTTCACAGTAAAAAGTACATTCTTTAAATAGTGCATGTTTATATAGCCTTTATAAAAATGTCCCCCTGTAGATGTCTAATACATTTTCTATGTGATGATTTTGTGTACATATTTTAACTTTATGACTTTACTATAACCTTGAAGTGAAGGTGAGGGTTATTCCACAGTGACATCCTGTCTTGTGAATGGGATGTTTTCATGCCCATCAATAAACCTACACTCTTGCAGATAAATACTGGTGGTTTGTAAAATGTCTACTGAACTTTACCGTACTAATTTCTTTTTGACGTTTTATATATTGGGTTCCATCAGTTAATAATGGATACATCACTAAATAACCAAGAAATATTCTATTTTTCAGTTTTGTTAATAGGTGTGGAGAGGAGGAAAATGTGATTCTACCCTTCAGCTGTCTGAAAGATTTGATTCAGTCAGCTGTCAAAATATCCTTTTTTCCCGTTTTGTTGCTGCTGCCAACATCTTTTTTTGTTTGTTAATCACATGACAGTGCCGATGGCATTAGTTCATAAACAGTTTGATGTCAGCACTCAATTCTGTATCAACAATTAACAGAGGTGGAAGAAGTACTCATATATTTTACTATACTTAGTTTACCAAAAGTAAAAGCCAGCAATATGCAGAATGGCACATTCAGAAAAATATATATTATGTTTTGATTATAATTATCGATGCATTAAAGTGCTATCAACGCTGGTAAAGTTGCAGCTACATTTAATGACTGTGTATACTGCAGGGTAGCTTGTGAATTTATTCCAGGTGTAACTAAAATCAAATGTAATTGATGATTATATTTCACATCATCAATCAAAATCTGCAACATAACCAAAAGGTATTAGATTAATGTTGTGGAGTAAAAGTACACGATAAACCTCTGAATTGTAGTGGGGGAGAAGTACAAAGTAGCAAAACATTCATAAGTCCCTCACAATTGTACTTAAGTACAGTCCTTGAGTAGTTTTGGTGCCTGGTTAAGGCCCTGAATATGATAATGTCGTTTTTATATCCTCAATTTTAATGTGGCATTTAATTAAATGTCGTAGGGGCCACAATCATGGTTTTGTTGCTGTTTAGAGGTTGTTGTCTGTGGCAAATTCATATCTGACCTGAACAGACTGAGATATATTGTAACAACTGACGCTGTGTTTTTTAGTAGATTATTTATGGTTTTGTTGTGGTCCACATTCATTTTTAACCAACTTTTACCTTTTTTATGTACATGACAACATTGCCACAACATTCATGTATGGCTACAGGATGGCTCGCTGGTGTCATAAACTAGCTACAGGATCGATGGCGTTCATGGCTTCATTGTCAACAACGTTTATCATACAGATATTCATACGAGATATACTGTATTTTTGGACATTGTAAGGGTGAGTAAGCTAACGCTTAACATTAGTTCGCCTAACCAACAAAAACATATTGTCCCTTCTGCAGAAACTAGGGTAACTCTATCGTAATGTAACGTAAGCTAACGTAAGTAGCAATGGTAGCTGCTGATTACACAAACTCGTACAGCCTGTACGAGTGTGGGGTGTCATATGCCTAAGCCTCTTTGTAAATCTTAACGTACCTTATAATATACATCGAACTGTATATTTTCTGGGAGCGACCGTATGTCCCTTCTTGACCGGCTGTAGTTGTCCACCACAGCCGAGATAGCCGTGTTGTACAGTGTTTCTGGGATCCATTCGAGCTCCACCGCAGCCATGTTGTTTTCCCTCTCCAAAAAAAACCAGCAGCTACAGCCCTCCCCAGCTCTCCCTACATTCGCTACCTCACTGCGATTAAAGCACTTTCTCCAAGGGTTCTCATATAACATTCGCTTTAAAGCGAGGCTACAAATAATTGTTCTATTATCAATTTACCGCTACAATTCTAAAACCGCTGGTTTATTTTCCATCTTCTTCATCTCCAATTATTCGTCGACCCTACAGCAGTTCCGTGCGTTCCGTGCCCCCCCGTCCCGACGCACACTCACCGGCGTTGACGCAGTGACGTAATTGTGCAGTCGATGAAAGCATATTTGCACAATTTAGTAATTTGGAGATGGAAGAAGTACTCAGATATGAAGTAAAAGTAAAACATATTATCATAAAAAGATACGCTAAGTACAAAAAGGAAAAGCATTTATCATGCAGTATGGCCCATTTATACGGAAGAGGATTAGGGCCACATAAAACAATTTTTTGTGAGGATTTAAAAAAAAAAAAAAAAATGTTGTTCTGAGAAAAAAGTCAGAATTCTGACTTTAATCTCAGAATTCTGACTTTTTTCTCAGAACAAAAAAACATTTTTTTTTTGGGAGAAAAAAAGTCAGAATTCTGACTTTAATCTCAGAATTCTGACTTTGATCTCAGAACAAAAAAAAAATATTTTTTTGGGAGAAAAAAAGTCAGAATTCTGACTTTTTTCTCAGAACAAAAAAAAAACATTTTATTTGGGAGAAAAAAGTCAGAAATACCGGTAACTGTAGAACCAGCTTCACTGCGATTTACACATTGCAGATGGTTGTAAAATGATTTATTATGGTTTCCTCTTGGACCCCTCTGGCGCGCAGAAATTCACTCACGTCCTCCATTGTTGCCTACTGCAATGTGTAAATCGCAGTGAAGCTGGTTCTACAGTTACCGGTATTTCTGAGAAAAAAGTCAGAATTCTGAGATTAAAATCAGAATTCTGAGATTAAAGTCAGAATTCTGACTTTTTTTCTCCCAAAAAAAAAATGTTTTTTTGTTCTGAGAAAAAAGTCAGAATTCTGAGATTAAAGTCAGAATTCTGAGATTAAAGTCAGAATTCTGACTTTTTTCTCCCAAAAAAAAAAAAGTTTTTTTGTTCTGAGAAAAAAGTCAGAATTCTAAGATTAAAGTCAGAATTCTGACTTTTTTCTCAGAACAAAAAATAATAATATTTTTTTCAAATCCTCACAAAAAAATGTTTTATGTGGCCCTAATCCTCTTCCGTACGTTTCAGACTCATACATGATATTGTTATATTGTAATTATTGATGCATAACTGTGTTAATCACTTTAATGTTGCTCTTGGTAAAGCTGGGGTTTATTTATATTACTTTATATTCTTCCAGGTATCTTAATGATTAATTAGTGGATTTATACTTTGTAGTCTGATGCATAGGCGGAGTTTGACATTTGCGCTTTGGGGGGAAAACCTTTTTTACTGACGCCAGTATGGGCCATGGATGTATAATAAGAACTGGATACAGCGTGGGAGGCGGGGCCTCATTCATTCCTATGAGAGCTGCTCATTAGCGCATGATGATAAAATGGCCCACCTTTTGAGAGAGTGAAACGTCACAGATTACCCAGCATGCCTGAGAAGTACCCGCATATGCGCTCATAGAGCATGCGCAACTTTAACCAAAATGCTCGTTCACATCAAGCACGTCAATTTGCGTACACGTAACAGCACCGCGCGTTCATGACAGCATGGTAATGGTTGTTGTTATCATGGATTTGATATGAACGAGGCGGCAGTTAGCAGCTAGCTAGTAATGATGCTAATGTACACATCAATCGTTATGTACTTATATTACGCTGTAACAGGATCTAGTGATATCCAACAGAGCTTCATTTAGCATGAAATAATTATTGCACTGTATATATATATATTTATATAGGCCTACAGTGCAATAAGCTTCTTAGTGCAATACGAAGCTACAGGGACGTTAATAATGTCGGTAATATTAACTTTATTTAATACAACATTTAGGGTACAAGATTTAATCATACAGCCCATGTAGTATGATAATGAATTACAGCAAACATGTGCAATATATCCATTATTACAGCTCCGTGGGATGGCAGTAAGACGATATGGATCCGTTCTTATCCATGGGTAAAGATAAACGCAACTCACATTGGTTTCTCAAACAGCATCTCTGTAAACTACGTGTATTCACTGAATTTCACTCTCTGCCTTTAACGGCTCGTTGTAGCTCCAATAGCTCCAGCCCTACCCTCGTCAGGCAAACTAGACCGAAGAAGTATGATCGTCTTGGTCTTATTGTTAGCGGGAGACATCCATCTGAATCCGGGCCCGGTGCAGACAAGAAGCCAGTCCTGCAGGCTCGAGGAGCTAGCATCACAATTAGCATCTCTTCCGCTGCAGCAACAACTACGCGACGACAACAGAGACCGTGGAGACAGCGGAGACCGAGGAATTAACGGAGACTTCGAGATTTGCCCGGGGACGCCTTGGCAGACAGACACGCATGAGGCAGTGACGAGAGGAAGAGAACCGAGATCCGAGGGAACAAATATCCGACATGTTGTTAGCCACCCTGCTAGCATATCAACGGCTAAAGCTACAACGGAGCCTCCCTCCCCCCACCACCACCCCACCTCTCCAAACACCACGGCAGGCCTCAAGCCGGTTGCTGTAACGGACAAAGACAAATATCTGCAAGCTGACGACATTGTGCATTTAAGCAACAAAAATGGACTACATATTTTTCATCTGAACACTAACAGCCTGAGACACAAACTGGCTGAACTCAGGCAGCTATTCATGAACGGTAAGGCAAGCATATTATGCTTTTCTGAGACCAAATTGGACAATTCCATTACAGATTCAGAGATTGAAATTGAAGATTATCTTGTAGTGAGAAGGGACAGGAACGTGAATGGAGGTGGTGTCTGCATGTACATACATAAAGACACCAATTTCAAAAACCGTACTGACCTGCATCATGAAAATATTGAATCTGTGTGGGTTGAAATTCTTTTTGACAATGCTAAATCTGTAATAGTCGGGACAATCTATAGACCACCGGAACAGAGTGACTTTTATGATACATTAGATGGGTGTTTGGCTGATGTGGGGGATGTAGAGACAATTATTATTGGAGACTGGAACACGGATATGCAACGTAAAGACACGTCCGTCTTCAAGTCCTTCAGTAGGATTTGTGATCTGCACGGCTTCAGCCAGCTAATCACCCAACCCACCCGGGTATGTGAAACAACACAAACTACCATTGATCTCATTCTGACCTCTGACAAGTCCAGGATCTCCAGTAAAGGGGTTATAGCATGCGGGTTAAGTGATCATTATATGATATTCTGTACCCGCAAAAAGCTAAAACAAAGGGCCGGCTGTCACAAAACAGTCATATCTAGAGACCTCAAACACTACTCTAGCGAGGCCTTTAACCTAGAACTGGAGAGCCTGGACTGGTCAGATGAGCTCAGTGGTACACAAGTTGAAGAAACATGGCTTGGTTTCAAAAACAAATTCTCTGCAATACTCAATGATTTGGCCCCCCTAAGAACAACCAGGGTAAAAAATTGCGCTGAGCCGTGGATGCACTCCGGCATACTGACCGCCATGAAAACCAGAGACAAAAAATGCTCTGAGTTTCATAAAAGTCAGTCAATGCTTTCCAAAAGCACGAGCAGTGAACTCCAGGCTCACGTGACTGAACTAAAATTTGAAAGAAACAGACTAAGAAATGACGTAAGCTCCATGATCAAAACTGCCAAAAAGAATTTCATCAATGTCAAAACTGAGGAAAACAAAAATAAACCCCGTGAACTTTGGAAATTACTCAATAACCAGCTTGGCTGCAGTAAAAAACTCAAAACGAGATTTTCTAACTTAAATATGAAGACAGATAACAGGCTCATCACAGACAAACTGGATGTGGCCAAGTACTTGAACATTTTTTTCACAAACATAGCCACAACTCTTGTAAATAAATTACCCTCCCACTCAGGGCTTTTTGGAGTAGATCACATCATGACCTACTACAAAAACCTAGGGGTACGCAAAGATGATTTCAGTCTAGCAAGGGTAACAACAGCAGAGGTACTCATTAAACTGAGCGCCCTCCAACCTAACAAGGCCACTGGCCACGACAATATCCCCTCCAAATTCCTCAGAGACACAGCAACCGCCATCTCACCAGTCATAGCTCACATAATTAACCTCTCCATAAAACAGGGAAAAGTACCCAAAGACTTCAAAATTGCAAGAGTAACCCCCCTGCACAAAAAGGGCAGCAAATTGGACCCAGGCAACTACCGCCCTGTTTCTATACTTACCTCCATCTCGAAAGTCATGGAAAAAATAGTATATGAACAGGTCGAAAAGTACCTCTCGGAAAAGAAACTAATCTATGAATTTCAATCTGGCTTTAGAACATCCCACTCCACTGACACATGCCTTCTTTATTTGAGCGACCACATCAAACAAGAGGTGGACGAGGGCAAGTACTGCGGCATGGTGATGCTGGACCTACAAAAGGCTTTCGACACTGTCAATCACCCCATTCTGATTGACAAGCTAAAAGCAATTGGTTTTGACAAACTATCGGTGAGCTGGATGCAATCCTACCTGGAGGGGAGAGAACAGATGGTGGAGGTAAACGGTACTCTGTCCCCCCCCTCCCAGTGAGCTGTGGTGTTCCACAAGGAAGCATATTAGGTCCGTTACTGTTCCTAATTTATGTAAATGACATGTCATCAGCATGTGACTGCAACTTGTTCCTGTTCGCGGACGACTCAGCCCTGCTGGTCTCTGACAGGAACAGGTTGCAGGTTGAAAAAACCCTCAGCTCCGAGCTCGGCAGAATCTGCACGTGGCTCGCCGATAATAAATTATCATTACACCTGGGTAAAACAGAGTCCATTCTCTTCGGTTCGAAACATAATCTCAGCAAATCCGACGACTTCTCAGTTGCAGTGGGCGACATTATTGTCACAAGTAAGAAGGAAATTACATACCTAGGATCTATTCTTGAGGCAAACCTCTCCTGTGATAAAATGGCATCCAATGTAATAAAAAAAGTCAATCAAAGAACTAGATTCCTATACCGGATCTCCTCTCTGGTAAACAAAAACACCCTGAAAACTCTGGCAGGAGCACTCATTCAAGGGTACTATGACTATGCTTGCACGTCATGGTACCATAGCACCTCCAAGGCGCTAAAAATAAAACTTCAAACATCGCAAAATAAACTGG